TAACTGCACCACCTCACTAAACTTCACCTCCACTCTTTCATCCAAACTTTTCTGCGCCCCCAATAACTCCGTTTTCATTTGTGGCAATAATATGGATTATACTGCTCTTCCCTCTTCCTGGACCGGATCTTGCACTCTTGCTATTCTTCTCCCACAGATTGAAGTTGTTCCTGGAGATGAATCTGTCCCCATTCCATCCCTTGATTTTATTGCAGGAAGACCCAAGTGAGCTGTCCAACTTATCCCCATCTTGGCCACCTTAGGATTCACTGTAGCCGCCCCTGCGGGCTCCACAGGCCTGGGTTATTCCTTTCAACTTAAACAGGTCACAGAAGGATTGATATCTGATATCCAGCAGCTTGCATCCACCATCTCCCTCATCCAGGATCAGCTAGATTCCCTCACAGAGGTGGTTCTACAAAATCGCAGGGGTTTGGACCTCTTACTTGCAGAGCAGGGAGGTCTTTGTCTTGCTTTACAGGAACGATGCTGCTTTTACGCCAACAAGTCTGGCATTGTCCGCAATAAGATCCATGACCTCCAAAGAAGTCCTAAGGAACCGCAGATGACAACTTGCTGACCACCCCCTTCTAACTGTCTGGAATGGACTCTTGCCCTTTTTGCTTCCTGTAATTGGACCAATTCTCAGGCTACTAATTGTCTGCTCCCTGGGACCGGTCATTTTCCAAAAACTAAAAACGTTTACCAGCCAACAAGTTACCTCCCTCCTTTCTCGGCCTATTCAGGTCCATTACGCTAGACTGGAGATGCATGATATCGATCAACATCATAATCTGACCTGAGGCGCTGAGCTGGTTAGTCAATGACAGGTAAGAGAGTCTAGCCGACCTTTTGCCAATTCCTCCACCTAAGACAGGACACCCATCTTGCTGTGGGTGGTTCCCATGATGGGTAACCGAGGACATTCGGCTAATAAGACTCCAACCTAAGACAGGCACAGCTCCCCCTGGTTCCCAGTCTATAAAACAGAGAAGGGGGACATGTGGGGAGCCACATGCACCAAAATGGCTGACATGACCTTCATACAAGGACCTTCAAGTATCCTTGTTCCGGGAGTAGACAGTTCACCCTGAGACTTCCTCATTCAGGCAGGTCCTCAGTCAGGTCCATGACAATTCCTGCCCCCTTTTCCTACCCTGTGTATATAAGAATGTTCTCTGGCCCTCAATAAATGAGTGACTGCATACCATCTTGAGCTGTGACACTGTGTCGCTCCCATGTTGTGACACTGCACCGGTTCCAGACCTCCGCTCTCTCACTCAGGCACCCTGCTTGATCGTCCCACGGGCCGGGACACTTAGGGAAACAGAGAAGTGAAATAAGAATTCCTAAGCAGAGATGGCACTATGGAAACCTAAAAAAAAAACTAGATACACACAGAAATATAGAAAATACCTTTGTGGGAACATACAATGTCTCTCCTTCATAGCCTGGCTTGCCTCACTCAGCAGTACATCTTCCATATTCTTCCACTTTCTGTCAAAAGCCAGGGTTCTGTTGGTTTTTATGGCTGAGTTCGTATTCCATAGAGTATATGTGCCACAGTTTTTCAATCCATTCCTCCATACGGGGGTATTTGGGTTGGTTCCATGACTTAGCAATTGTGAATAGTGCCGTATGACTGCATTCTATGACTGAAACTGATTGACTAATGGTTGAACAAACACAAAAGATGGGTGTGAATGTCAGACGAGGTATATGTGAAGGAGTGGGACTCCACATCCCGCAAATATTTCTGTGTCAAAACGCCTGCCATCTCTTCCTCTCAGAAACCACCCCCATGCCCCTGTACGACCTTTCAGACTTTTCTTCACTAATCTTGCTATGAGCAGTCATCCACATGCGTTTCAGGTAACCACGCCTATTTCACAGCTACCCAAACCCATACCTTCTCGGGGTCCTTTAATCATTTGAGCCAACAGTGTTGTTGGTACACTCAAGGCCCCGTTCACATCTCAGACGGAGGCGGGCCCCAGGACCGCCTTAGACAACACAAGACACAAAAACAATTAGAGGCTCTTTACCCTTCTGTTTCCTACCATCCAGTTGTTCTCCCCAAGCTAAAAGACCAACAACTCGATTCCAATGCCTATAATCTTCTGGAGCTTGCTCATGCCCTTATAAACACTTCTGCTCCTGACATCACACAAAATTGCTGGCTCTGCCTCCCACATCAAAACCCTGTCCCCTATGTGCTCCCTTCAAACTTCTCACCATTTTTTGACGACCTTATTAATTGCTCCTTTTCCTCGCTCTTCTTGGTCCAGCCTCTCTTCCCCATCAATGTCTCCTGTGTTATCTCTAATTCAACTGACAATTCTTCCGCCGCCCTTGGTTTCCTCTCCTTCTCTAACTGCACCACCTCACTAAACTTCACCTCCACTCTTTCATCCAAACTTTCCTGCCCCGCCCCCCATAACTCTGTTTTTGTCTGTGGCAATAATATGGCTTATATCGCTCTTCCCTCTTCCTGGACCGGATCTTGCACTCTTGCTATTCTTCTCCCACAGATTGAAGTTGTTCCTGGAGATGAATCTGTCCCCATTCCATCCCTTGATTTTATTGCAGGAAGACCCAAGTGAGCTGTCCAACTTATCCCCATCTTGGCCACCTTAGGATTCACTGTAGCCGCCCCTGCGGGCTCCACAGGCCTGGGTTATTCCTTTCAACTTAAACAGGTCACAGAAGGATTGATATCTGATATCCAGCAGCTTGCATCCACCATCTCCCTCATCCAGGATCAGCTAGATTCCCTCACAGAGGTGGTTCTACAAAATCGCAGGGGTTTGGACCTCTTACTTGCAGAGCAGGGAGGTCTTTGTCTTGCTTTACAGGAACGATGCTGCTTTTACGCCAACAAGTCTGGCATTGTCCGCAATAAGATCCATGACCTCCAAAGAAGTCCTAAGGAACCGCAGATGACAACTTGCTGACCACCCCCTTCTAACTGTCTGGAATGGACTCTTGCCCTTTTTGCTTCCTGTAATTGGACCAATTCTCAGGCTACTAATTGTCTGCTCCCTGGGACCGGTCATTTTCCAAAAACTAAAAACGTTTACCAGCCAACAAGTTACCTCCCTCCTTTCTCGGCCTATTCAGGTCCATTACGCTAGACTGGAGATGCATGATATCGATCAACATCATAATCTGACCTGAGGCGCTGAGCTGGTTAGTCAATGACAGGTAAGAGAGTCTAGCCGACCTTTTGCCAATTCCTCCACCTAAGACAGGACACCCATCTTGCTGTGGGTGGTTCCCATGATGGGTAACCGAGGACATTCGGCTAATAAGACTCCAACCTAAGACAGGCACAGCTCCCCCTGGTTCCCAGTCTATAAAACAGAGAAGGGGGACATGTGGGGAGCCACATGCACCAAAATGGCTGACATGACCTTCATACAAGGACCTTCAAGTATCCTTGTTCCGGGAGTAGACAGTTCACCCTGAGACTTCCTCATTCAGGCAGGTCCTCAGTCAGGTCCATGACAATTCCTGCCCCCTTTTCCTACCCTGTGTATATAAGAATGTTCTCTGGCCCTCAATAAATGAGTGACTGCATACCATCTTGAGCTGTGACACTGTGTCGCTCCCATGTTGTGACACTGCACCGGTTCCAGACCTCCGCTCTCTCACTCAGGCACCCTGCTTGATCGTCCCACGGGCCGGGACACTTAGGGAAACAGAGAAGTGAAATAAGAATTCCTAAGCAGAGATGGCACTATGGAAACCTAAAAAAAAAACTAGATACACACAGAAATATAGAAAATACCTTTGTGGGAACATACAATGTCTCTCCTTCATAGCCTGGCTTGCCTCACTCAGCAGTACATCTTCCATATTCTTCCACTTTCTGTCAAAAGCCAGGGTTCTGTTGGTTTTTATGGCTGAGTTCGTATTCCATAGAGTATATGTGCCACAGTTTTTCAATCCATTCCTCCATACGGGGGTATTTGGGTTGGTTCCATGACTTAGCAATTGTGAATAGTGCCGTATGACTGCATTCTATGACTGAAACTGATTGACTAATGGTTGAACAAACACAAAAGATGGGTGTGAATGTCAGACGAGGTATATGTGAAGGAGTGGGGCTTAATGAAGGACATTTGGAAAAGGGATACAGAGGTAGAGCATTGACGGGATGGGGAGGTGTGGTGTTATCTGTTAAAGATATATTGATCAACGGGTCTGGGGAGAAATGTGCACATATCGAAATGGTCTCATCGTAAGCCAACAAACAAACACACACACACACACAAACACACACACACACACAAACACACACACACACAAAGAAAATACCTTTGTGAATATTAACTATGCATTTCAACTATGTGAGTAGTACCTGTTCCTATGAAATTAGCCATCTTATTTTCCTCCTTTCAGGTAGTGACCTCTACCATATGGAATGAGGGAATGGCACAAAAATTTTAGAATATCTTTTTCTGGGATGTTTGGAGGAACTGGAACTGCAGGCTCCCATATTTTAGCTTTTCCTCTGCATGTACCTGATCATTGTGTGTGGAGACTTCCTCCATTATCCTGGCCATTGTCTCAGACTCCCACCTGCACACCCCCATGTACTTCTTCCTCTCCAACCTGTCCTTTGCTGACATCTGTTTCACCTCCTCCACCACCTCCAAAATGCTGGTGAACATCCAGACACAGAGCAAGGTCATCACCTATGCAGGCTGCATCACCCTAGTGTTCTTTTTCCTAGTTTTTGTAGTGTCAAATCACATCTTCCTGTCTGCTATGGCCTATGACCGGTATGTGGCCTTCTGTCACCCCCTGTACTATACGGTCATCATGAACCCCTGGCTCTGTGGAAAGCTAGTTCTGGCATCCTGAATCATGAGTGTCCTGTATTTGTTGTCCCAAAACTTAATGGCTTTGTGGCTGTCCATCTGTACACATGTGGAAATTCCCCACTTTTTCTGTGAACTTAATCAGGTGGCCCACTTTGCCTGCTCTGACACCTTTCTTAATGACATGGTGATCTAATTTGCAGCTGTGCTGCTGGCTCCTGGTCCCCTTGCAGGGATCCTTTACTCTTACTATCATATAGTTTCCTCCATTTGTGCAATTTCATCAGCTCAGTGTAGGCATAAAGCATTTTCCACCTGTCCTTCTCACCCCTTGTTTGTCTCATTATTTTATTGTACATGCCTGGGTTTGTACCTTTGAGCTGATGCTACTCACATCTCACACTCAAGTGCAACAGCCTCTGTAATGTACTCTGTGGTCACACCCATGCTGAACCCCTTTATCTACAGTCTGAGGGTTAAAGATATAAAGAGGACCCTGAAAAGTTTATTTGGGGAAAAGCCATAAATGTACCAATTTCCTGGACACAATAAACTGCCCTGTTTACAGGCCTCAAGCATTCAGATCTAATATCTCAATTCTTGATCAGATTTTGGGAGTAGAACTTGGTCCTCCTATGAGTGCCTGGAGTTTCCATTCCTTTGATCTCAATCTCTGTATAATTTTAGTAAGTTTTTAAATTAAGATTTATACTCTTTCTGATATCCAACAGCTTTTCCCTTTTTATTTTCCCAC